ACCTCTGTGGTTTGACCTTGCATGTGGCTAAGTGAGATCGTTACCTGGTTCAAGTTTTAGTTTGATAGGTAGTTGCTTTAGATGCTCTCCACGTGCTAGAGCTATAGGAGTTAGTTTCAATTTTTGCATTTTCTGAGCGATTTGTTTTTTACTTAGGTCAATTCGCACATTTTTTTGGATCATTGTTATACTTGGTTTTGTATAAATCTTGGTAAGCTACTCTACGGGAAGCGTTGCCGAAGTTTCTAAAAAAACAAGGAATTAGTCAAATTTTGACTTGTCAAAGTTAAACTTGTTGAAATTTTATATACGACTTAATAAAAATATGGGAAGTTTCATTTTTTAAGGGGAGTGTTGACCAAAGTTTTGTTAATTTAAAGAGTTAGACAAAATTAGACATTGAGAAGTCAAAGTTATTTTTAGATTCTGAACTTAGCTTCATATAAATCTTGAAAAACTACTTTCTCTACGGGAAACGCTGCTGAAATTTATACAAATCTAATGAGTTAGTTAAATTTTGTCTTGGTAAAACTCAAGTTTTATGTTTGATTTCATATCCGAGTCAGTATAAATATGGGAAGTCTGTTTTTCTAAAGGAAATATTGCTAAAATTTTTACTAATTCAGAGAGTTAGACAAAATTTGACTTTTTAGAGTTGATTATTTCAGTTTTAATATTTGGGTTAATATAAATTAAAAAAATATATTTTTTATACGAAAAACGCTGCCGAAATTTTATTAGTTTAGAAGAGATAAATTATATTTTGACAGGTGGTGATTCTGGCGACCCACCCTGAATAGGGGAGACTCTGTCAAAGATCTACCTTTCCCTTTGACGCTGATTTAGGGGTAGACTTATACTTAGTTGGCAGATAACTTTTAGCAAAAATTTGTTATGGAGATTCATTCCCATACATTGATGATTCAGCTTTGTCATTGACGTGTCTTATGATACAACCCTTATTTTGATCGTTTTGATTCAAAACTTGGATTAGTTTCAACTTTGATCCCACGAGGAACATCTTCTATTATTACTGATAACATATCTGTTGTCGATTCGTCGGTTTACGACTCAACTCCAATCCACTCTTGTCACTCAACCTAAAAGCTTTAGCCCTGTGGTTTGAATTATTTCGTTGTGTTTTTACTCGGACTTTATTGAATGGTCATTTAACAAATATATTGAATATTTTATTTTGAGAGTTGCACAAAGAGTGAGGATTGTATGACTAAAGCAAGGGGTGCGAGATAATGGTTGAAATTAACGACGTCTAGTGTGTGAACTTTTGTTGAATCTTTGATGTGATTGCAAGTATGTTTGTGGCTCGGACTCTGAATTTGATTGCTTGCGATCACATATAAATGGTTGAAGGGAATCTCACAATGATTGTGAGAAGTGATCGTTTCTTATTTATGACCTTTTACATATATATCAACGATAAAAATTATAAAAATTAAATAATTAATTTATAGTAAAATTACTATCTAATTTTCAAATTTTCATTCCATCTTTAAAAATGTCATTCAAATTTTAAAATTTTTCATCTTACTTGCAAACTTTCATTCAAAGAACAGGGTATCCCGTGTTATTGGGACTGCATGCTAAAGATGGAATGAAAGTCTGGATGAGTTCATAAAATATTGTAATTGAACTGTAATTTTAAGTAAGGATTTTCAGTCATAAATAAGTTAATCCAATATAAATTAGAAGATATTTGTTGTAGTAGAATGAAAATTTAATTAAAACATTGCATAAACTCATCCAGACTTTCATTCCATTTTGAACAAATAGATGTAGTTGGAAGGGAAAGCTCATATTTAAATGGAAAGTTATTAAATAAAACTGAAAATTTTATAATTGGACGAACGTTGAAATGAGAATTTATAAATAGGAAGTATTTTTTTTCTATGGAATATTTTTTCAACTTTCATTTCTCGTGGGAATTTTTCTGTTGATATACATACATATGCCTTAAATACTCGCGCGAACTCTTATGATTGTACGCAAAGGTCAAACAAACATGCGTTGAGAGAAAAGGGAGATCCCCTTTTATCCTTTGTTTTTTATAATTCTTATATTTGAACGTTGTACTCCGTGACAGTCGTCAAAATTAAACCCCTTCAAGTTGAGTTCGATCCAAGTCCTGAATGATGGAGTTGGTCTTCAGGGCGATAAAAGACGATTATCACCACATGTATGAACCTATGTAACACCCACTATCCGCATGGTGCAGAATGGGGTGTGGTTCTCAACCGCGCTTGGCGGCTGTTTAGCGTCGAAAGATTAATCCCTCAAGGCGCGTGTCAGTTGATATTTGAGCGTCGAACGTGATCCTCGAGACTATTGAGGATCGCGTGATTATGGGTACTTCATAGTACGTCATTATCGCGACTGCTTGTGTATGCATGCATTGCTGGTCGATATGAAAAGGCCTTGTATCCTCTCAGTTTTATACTAAGTCTCGCGCATGTCGCCTATCCGATTTTCGCGTCGGAAGGTTATGGGATGACTATAAAAGGGACTAGGAGTGTTGTTTTGTTGTTTGTTTTTGTGTTGTTTTGTTTTTGTGTTGTTCTGTGTGTGTGTGTGCATTTTAATTTTTATGTTTTAAGCTTGGTGTAACGCGTGGTGTGTGGGATGCGTCATAGTCGTCCGACGACGAATCGTGCTTGGGACTTCAGCCCCCAGTGCGTTGATTCTCGTGCGGGTTCGATAGAGGCGTGAGACCGTTCGTACCCCCTATGCTATAGCGTACGAGAAATGCCCTCGGCTGGTCCACCTCAGCGATTGCAATTGATTAGCTTTCGTACTGTGGGCTAGTAGCTCGGTGGGGATACGCCCACCGAAGGGAGGTGACAACTCCCCCAGGTGGAGGTAAAGTTGTACCTTGCGTTGGCCTTATCCTGTCGTAGGGGCTCGCGAGAGGTATGGTTGGCGCACTCGACCGAAGTGGCTTGTGGAAGCTCCATGTGTATCGTAAGTAGACCAACTCCTGCATGACGCGCCCGGGAGGGTCCCACACTGAGAGGGACCGATGCGCTTGTCAACGCTAACGTAGACAGATGGACGGAGAGATACAAGCACACCTCTTTGTGTTGTGTTTGAATCCGGCGTGGAATTCGCAGCCCTAAGTTTGCGGTCTACTGGGGTTCGGCGTCTGTGTCAAGGTGTCGCATTTTTGGCGACGGGCGACCAAAACGCAAAGTAGGTTCTTAGGGGGCAAAAAAATTTGGGGAACCGGTTCTTGCCAAAATTGCGGTCTACCTACAGCTAGCTCTGGTAAAACCGAGACTTTTGGAAAAAGGAAGGACAAGTCCTCGGGTGGAAGTGAACCTCCAAAAAAAGTGGGGGGCGTTGGACGGCTCCACGGGTGAAAGCGGACTCACCCCGAGACAAAGTGAGGGCATGTGAAGTGCAAAAGGGCCCTCAGGCCCAGACGTTGAGACCCGTCTTCTCAAAATAGGGAGTCAGGCGGAACGAAACATGTGTTTTGCGAGAGGCACCTTTGGCGACTTTCTGTGCTCGGAGGAACCCAAAATCATTTAGACCGAGAAATAATCGTCCCGTCGATTTGGCACATTTTCCATTTTTGCCACTCAGCCATGTGTGGGCCAACTTAAATAGTGAGTTTTCGCGTTCGGAAGAATGCGTGAAAAAACCTGAAAATTAGAGTACTCGAAGATTTTGTTGTGATTTTATTAGGAAAAACGCTAAATATATTTAAAAAAATCATTCCAACTGCGAAATAGATCGAGGCCGCAATTTGACCGATATTTCAATTTTGCCATTCAGCCTCTCTCTCTCTCTCTCTCTCTCTCTCTCTCTCTCTCTCTCTCTCT